GCTCCTAGTAGTAAGGCCAGGAGCCCCTAGTAGCTTCCTTGCTCCTACCAGCGATGCCAGGAGCCCCTTGTAGCTTCCTTGCTCCTAGTAGTAAGGCCAGGAGCCCCTAGTAGCTTCTTGCTGCTAGTAGTGATGCCAGGAGCCCTAGTAGCGTCCTTGCTCCTAGTAGCTATTGCAGATTTCTTCAGATTCCGTATCTCTTCAGCCATTTGGAGCAAAGGAGCTTGAGCAAGATTCGTCAAGAGTCGTCATGTCGTCTGCTTCGCAGTTGGCCCCGCATTCTCCTCGCGTCTTCCTGTTTTGCGGTGAAGGGGCTCACAGCGCGGAGACGGACATTGCCACGTAGCGCAGAAACATGAATTGCCATATCCGTATTTTTGTTCAGACTCTAGATCTCACAGTGAAACCAATGCCCTCTTTGTTTTTTGAGGCTTGCTTGAAATTGTCCAGATCGTGGCCTGCTGTAGAGGATGCTCTTCAGCAACTGGGATTGACCAATGCGGAAGCTTTCTTGCTGCAAAACCTTGGTAAGCACTGTGCGCCCACATCTCCTGTGGTATCCGTGGTGCTTAACATGCTCAACGCAGACCTGTGGCAGCAGTGACTAGGTTCACAGAAATATGGTGTTCTGTTTCTCTTTTTGGTGTTTTGCAAGTCTGTGACCGTTGTTTTTAAACACCTGTGTGGCAAAACAATGAATAGGCCGATGTTGTAACGGCATCACGGCAGGGCCTATTATAGCCTTGGGCCTAAGATGGTCAAAGCAAAATTCCCAGCTAAAAGACAAAGCCACACACGCAGCAAGCGACTCAGTCAGAACCATGTGAATTGTGTTGCAAGTCATGTGAATAGTGTATGTGTGAATAGAACCAAATGCGGCATCGAATCTTCGAGTCTAGCCCTAGGCGCTTGGTCTCCGAGTCCTTTGGTCCCGTCCCGGTGCATTGGTCAATGTTGCTCAAAAACACGAGGTTTGCGAAAGCAAAGCGCTACCCGGTTGCCTTGGTCCTTGCGTCACTCGACCGTCTTGGCCAGGTGGGGCAACGTGCTCCAACCCATGCATGGCCGAGCACATAATACCTGTGGTTGGTGCTCAGTGCGAACTGAGTTGGGTCTACAAGGATCTGTAGGGTGCAACAAATTTGGGTCCTCAGGGGCCCTTCCCGGAACGAGCGCCCTTCCCGGAACGAGCCTGGCGCGCAGTGAAAAGAACACCCAAGCCCCGGCCAGCGCCGTGGCTCCGTTTTCACCCGCCGCTCACATTGAGTCAGTGCTCTGCAGGTGCCCCTGGACATTGGGGCCATGTGACAATAGAAATGCCAAGGCTTCATGACTCAGGCTGTGCAACCTGCACATTCCTAACAGTGTTAGCCTCAACCAGCTGTTTCTTCAGATTGTCACATGGGTTGATGCTGCGGCATGCACGGACATGATGCTCAGTTGAATCAGGGGTGGAGCGCGAGCCGGCGAGAGTGAAATGCCTAAAGGTATCCGCTCAAGACAACACGTTGGTTGTCCTTGATGAAGAATGGACGAAGTGTTCTTGTCAAGTAGCGGGGTCCACTCCATGGCTTATAATGCGCCGAATAACCAAGATGTCAATCCGGCGAAAGCCTATGCAATCTTGGTCGTTCGAAATTGTGAAGTGTCAGGAACCTGTGCAGCGTATGCGTTTGGGCTGGTCGAATATTCCGCCACCAGTTCTGCGCCAGCGCTCCAGCTTGCTCGAGATCGATAGTAGCTACCTTCTGGGTGGTAACGGTCTGTTTCATATCCTTCTTGAAGCGGTTCACTAACACTCATTGCGCATTGACTGTACGAAAAGTGCGCCGAAGCACACCGTTTAGGTTTCTGGAGCAACATGAGCTCACTTTGATGGTCAAACCCCCCGCAGTGGCGGCTATGATCAAGTATCCTGGACCGAAGGCTTAGAGTGCAACTGGCCTCACAAGCCTGAGAGCAAGGAAGTGAAGCGAGCGGTTTTTTCTACACACGCACGTACCGAGCGAAAGTGCATCAGCGTGTATATGTATATGGTGTGAAAGCATTGCGTAAGAGCATCACAGTAAGGCAAGTAAAACAACCCCAAAGGAGGCCCAGAAACCCAGAAACAAAACAGTCAGGCTCAAATTCTTTGCTCTGTAGCATGCGTCGAAGCTATCTGCGCAAAAGGCAAAACAGAAGTGTCGTGTCTTTGACGTGCAAGGAAGGTCTGTTCTGCACGAAATTGGTCTCCGTTCCATTGCTGCTCTAACGTCACATAACAACGAACGACTCTGCACCAAAAGAAAAAGCACAAACCTTTGTTGTTGCCAACAACTAAACCTGGCCCAAGTTCGGCGCCAAAGTTCAAACAAGGAAGCGCGGGTAACCAAAACAGCTTCTCAGTTGCTCCAACCACGATCACGATCAGAATCCAAAACCGTATTGTGAACAATCCAGAGTGAAGAGTCACCTCAAGCCCGAGTCAAACCATCTAATGTCGACGTAGGATCAATCAACCCCCTCAAGGTCAACAATGTTAACGAAGTTCAATATTGGAGGTATTGGAGATCAGATCTCCCGAGTTATGCCAGCATAGACCCCAGTCCAGGTCGCCTGGAACCGGCGACAAGCGCCGAGCGGTTAGCAGGGCCCAGATTAGGCTCAAGCAGCCATCCATGGTGACCCATTAATGCCAGATCGTCCAGTTGCGAGCTCGTCTCAAGAATCCAGGAAAAGACTTTTGCGCGCAGCACCGAAGCAGCAACACCAGCACGCAGGCTCCCAAGCGCGCGCTGCCATAAACATCTGGCAATGCTCTGCAGCGCTCTCCAAAGCGCGCATGGCTACAAGTCGCGCGGCAGAAGCGCCCACTGCCATAGACATCTGGCAGTGGCACCTTCAGCGCAGGCTCCAAAGCGCCCACTGCCATACCATCTGCAAAACGCTCATGGCCACACCCTGGCAGCGGCAGCCAGCGCCCAGGCTCTAAAGTGCACCGGCGCCTCTTGGTATGCTTGAAGTAAGAACCCCGCTAGCTCTTGCTATCTGGTAAATAAAGGTGATGACCTGATGATGTTTGATGGTTGATGGGATTCTGTGCAAAACATGGGGCCTGTGTTAGGGGTAACCTTTTGTCAGCTTGAAAACCTTCAGATTTTGATAGAGAGTTAACAATGGAAAGCGAAAAGAATTTTGCTAGAGAATTCTTAGGGATTGTGAAACAAAGGCTGCTTGGGAGTTTAGATCGCAGCTGTAAAAAACATACTGGTGAAATAGCTTCTGCTTTCTGGACGCAAATGGGTTTGATTAACAGGGGAGGCTTTTGCAAAGAAAGATTGTCATTAGAGGGATGTCAATGTGGAAATTCAGGTTCCAAATTAGTCCATTATTGGGGGCGCGAGCTGGGCTTGATGAATAAAATATTTCTAGATGCACATCATCATATTATATTGGTCTAAAGAAAACACGCTCGCCCACCACATTGCTTGTAAACAAGAGAACGGACAAGACACACCAACCAACCGAAACAACAACACTAAAACACTCACAATACAGGAGTACATCGGAACAAGCACTGCAAATGTGTGTGAATGCATCGAAACAAATATAGTTGAAAGAAGTACATTGTAATTTGCGATGGAAGACACAGTGAAGAGACACTGTGAGGCACCTATAAGTGCATCCCATCATACCAGCACGTCATTACCCCCACCCCACCCCACCCCACCCGACAAGCGAACACCAAAGTGCACACATGCAAGGACGGGTATCAGCCGGGGACCAACCACAACATAGATGTTTTGTGTCATCACTCCATCTTCACCTGTTCTGTTTTTGGAGGAGATTTGTTCGTTTTCAAAACTGTTTGGTTTTCCGGTCTTCTTTGAAACCTTCTTGGTCCTCGGCGTTTCTAGCGACCATATTAGAATAGCGTGGGCGCTTCTTCAAGGAAACTCCCCACCCTTAAGCGGGAGAGTTTCTTTCAAAAAACGCGAGCTATCCTGCGTCCTACATAGGAGCTGACGTGGCCCTTACTTGATCGCGGGCCAGAAAGAAAAGTTAAAAAATTGTGTTTCTAGGTGGGGAGAAGTGCCTTCGGTGGTCGTGGGTCACTCTGTGGGTGAAGTCGCTGCTGCCTATGCCGCTGGCATCTTCACAGCAGGGCAGGCCATCAGCTGCGCTTATCATCTTGGTTTGGCCATGTTGGAGATGAAGGGAACGATGCTGCACACGGAAATGCAACGAAAATGTTTGCCAACTGAGGCCAGAGATGCGACGTCAGTTCTCCCATGCTGTCAGCTCCAACCTTTCCAACGTTGTCTCTTCCTTTTCTTTCTTTGTTTCTGATAGTAACGGCCTCCAACCCAATAGCGATGGCCTCCAACCTAATAGCAAACGATATTACACCTTTGGTCCTTTTCTTGTGTCCTTGTTTCTAATAGCAATGGCCTAAACTAGTAGCATTGGCCTCCAACCTAATAGCGATGGCCTCCAATCTAAGGTAGTTTACGCAAGCACTTATGTGCTTTCAAGGTAGGATGGAGGGCAAGCTTCAATCTGATAGGTCTTTGTTGGTTGGATCGCATGTTTTCCAAGAAAGGTTTTGGCTTTCGTGTTGGAGTAGTTGTGTTTGACTGAAGATGGTGGCATGCAGGATGGGTTCCAGTTGGCAGCGGTGAACTATGTGATCAAGAGAGGAGCCACTGAGGAGGAGGATTTGCTCAGCGTGACCCTTTGTAGCCTTGGTTCTGCTGAGGAGTACTTAGCCAAGGATTCGAAAGCCACACTTCTGAAACCGGAGCATGCTTGGCATCACCGGGTTTGCTGGCAGCATTTTATCGAAAACATTCCAACTTTGGATGTGAATGTACGCCAGCGCGTTCTTACTGCTCTACATCGCGCCTGTGCTTTTTGCGTTTTTGCTACTTTTGCGCAAAAGTAAATCATATATTTCTTGTTATTTTTCTCTTTGAAAGGCATGCAAGCTGCCAGACTCCCTGACGCTTCCTCACGGCCAACGTTCTTCCAGGATCTTCATCTCTGCAGTCACAGGGACTCAACTGGAGGAACTATCGGAAGATCACTGGCAGCGCTGGTGCAATTCCCCTGTGAATTTTGAAAAAGCTCTGGAGAAAGCAAAGGAGATGCTTCAAGGAACATCTCCGGTAGTGCTGGAGATGGGGCCGCATCCAGTCCTTTACCAAGCTGCCAAGGCACGATTTGCACATATGTGCACCAGAACCATGTTGCGCACACATTGCAGAAACATCCTTCATATAGTTAAGTTTTCCTCAAAATCTAGGAACAAATGAATAGTGTGACCGCTGCTTCAAGGAAGCTCCACCCCGCCCTCAGGCTTCCTTGAAGAAGCGCGAGCTATCCTGTGCCCATACTAGTAGCTTAAGTAAGGACCTCTCGCCAGGAGCGCCGAGTAGCTTCTTGCTCCTAGTAGCGATGCCAGGAGGTGCTAGTAGCTTCTTGCTTTTACCCTGGTAGCTTCTTGCTCCTAGTAGCGATGCCAGGAGCCCCTAGTAGCGTC